GTTAATACAAGTAGAATGGTTACACTGAATGGTTCAAATTATCATGTATAGAAAGGAAAGATGGAAGATCTTCTTTATGTGAAGGAGTATCACTTGGCTGTCTTTGGTACTGAGAAACCACAAAATAAAACCGAAGAAGAATGGAAGTTGATTCACAGACAAGTTTGTGGTTACATCAGGCAGTGGGTAGATGATAATGTTTTAAATCATATTAGTGATGAGACTCATGCACGGACGCTGTGGAACAAGCTTGAACAACTATTTGCAAGAAAGATCGATAATAACAAACTCTTCTTGATTAAGCAGATGATGATGTTGAGGTATCAAGAAGGTACTTCTATGACTGATCACTTGAATAAATTTCAAGGAATTATTCTCCAGTTAGCGGGAATGGGAATCAAGTTTGAAGATGAAGTACAAGGGTTATGGTTGCTTGGTACTTTGCCGGACTCGTGGGAGACATTTAAAATGTCTTTATCTAATTCAGTCCTTGATGGTATAATCAACATGAATTTGGCGAAATGTAGTATCTTGAATGAAGAAATGAGAAGAAAGAATCAAGCTTCATCTTCTAAGTCAGAAGTCTTAGTTACAAAAAAAGGGGGAGAAGTAAAAGCCAAGGTTCGAAGAATAAAGAAAGAGGAAGAAGCAAGTCTAACAAGTTTGCCAATGTTGAGTGTCACTATTGTGGTTTGAAAGGACATATAAAGAAGTATTGCTGGAAAATGAAGAAAGATAATAAACAAGGAAAAATGAAAGATAACAAGAATGATGAAGGTGGTAAAGATGATCGAGTTGCTACTACCACTTCAGATTTTCTCCTTGTTTCTAATTGTGATGCCGTTAATATTTTATGTCATGAGACCAGCTGGGTGATAGATAGCGGTGCATCTATTCATGCTACATCTCACAGGGATTTCTTTACATCTTACAAATCCAGTGATTTTGGATTTGTCAAGATGGGCAATGATGGCTTGTCCAATGTAATTGGTGTTGGAGATGTGTGCTTGGAGACCAGCAATGGCACAAGGTTAGTTTTGCATAATGCTAAACATATTCCTGATGTTCGTTTGAATTTGATCTCTACAGGAAAACTTGATGATGAGGGATATTGCAACACCTTCAATGATGGTCAGTGGAAGCTCACTAAAGGCTCCATGATTATGGCTAGAGGCAAGAAATGTTCATCCTTGTATGTAAAGATCTCTATAGAGAAAATTAATGATGTAAAAGATGAAGATATAATGGAGCTATGGCACAAGAGGCTTAGTCACATTAGTGAAAAGGGCTTGACAATGTTAGCCAGTAAGGAGCAACTTCCCGAATTGAAGAAGGCACCATTGAAGAAGTGTTCTCATTGCTTAGCAGGAAAGCAAAACAGAGTTGCATTCAAGAGTTCCCATCCTTCAAGAATTCCTAGTACACTTGACTTGGTATATTCTGATGTTTGTGGTCCTATGAAGACAAAAACGCTTGGTGGTGCTCTTTATTTTGTTACCTTCATAGATGTTCATTCAAGGAAGATATGGGTTTACACCTTGAAGACAAAAGATCATGTGTTAGATGTGTTTAAGGAGTTTTAGGCCTCAGTTGAGAGACAAACTGGGAAGAAGTTGAAGTGCATCAGAACAGATAATGGAGGAAAGTATACAGGTCCTTTTGATTACTATTGCAAACAACAGGGCATCCGACATCAAAAGACGCCTCCTAAGACACCTCAGTTGAATGGTCTTGCAGAGAGGATGAACATGACATTGGTTGAGAGAGTCAGATGCTTACTCTCACAATCACAATTGCCTATGTCATTTTAGGGTGAGGCTTTGAGCACTGTTGTTCATGTTTTAAATCTCACACCATGTGTTCCTTTGTAGTTTGATGTTCCAGATAAAGTTTGGACATGCAGGAATCCTTCTTATGATCGCTTACGTGTATTTGGGTGCAAGGCTTTTGTGCACATCCCAAAAGATGAAAGATCCAAGCTTGATGTGAAAACACGACAGTGTGTCTTTATTGGTTATGGACAGGATGAGTTTGGCTACAGGTTCTATGATCCAGTAGAGAAGAAGCTTGTAAGAAGCAGAGATGTTGTGTTTATGGAAGATCAGACTATACGTGATATTGAGAAATCAGATATTCCAGTTCCAGAGAGTAGTCATGATTTAATTGACATGGATCCACCTCATGTTACAGGTGATCCACCTCAGGTTGAAGAAGAACATGGTGCTGGTGATTTAGATGGCACAGATGTTCCACTACCAGTGGAGAATCATGATATTGTTGATGAGCAGTTCCCTCTGCCAGAGACTCCCACAGATGCTACTTCAGATGTTGCACCTAGGAGATCTACTAGAGACCGAGCACCTTCCACCATGTAATATCCCAGAAAAATAATAGTAATTTATAATACAATAAATTAATAATAGTAATAAATTATAAATTAGTAATAATAATAATGGGTGATAAATTGTTATTATTTGATTGATCATTATGCTTTAATGTTTGATTATTTGATTGGTAATGTTTGATTGGATTAGGATGAGTCAACAAATATAAATTGTTTAGATATGATGACTTAACAAACATAAATTGTTTAGATATGATGACTCAACAAACATAAATTGTTTAGATATGATGAGTCAGCATTGAGTCAGTAATGTATAAGCCCTAAACTTCAACTATAAATAGAGACCTAGCATAACCAAACCAATTCACTCTCCTCTACTACTCTCTTTCTCTTCTCACTCCAAAAAGTTTATTTTAATTATTTTCAATCTTTATATTTTTTTATCAACCGGTTCTCTGCCCCAAATTACTCTTTTCTTCTAAAAGTTAGCGAAAACGGAGACCAGGTAATCCTAATCCCTAGGTATTTTTAGATTATATTTTATGTCAAATTTGGTATGTGTAATCCTAATCCTTAGAAGTCTTAGGTTAATTTTATATGAATTTTGATAGGGTAATTATGATCCTAAATATATCATAGGGTTGTCTTATATGAAAAATATTGTATGTAATCCTAATCCCAAATAATTATGTTGACCTGTATATATAATTACGTTCGTTATAAATTCAATTTTTGTTGATAATTACTATCTGCATATATATATTCGATTACAAATGTTTCCTCAATTTGCTTCTGCCGAACTCGGAACTGCATATATACCTTCGCTGCAAATTTCTTTCGTTTTATGTGCAATTCTTTAATTGAATTCAAATGGTAATGGTTGTTGATTTTATATATATAAACATTGTTCACAAAAAAAACAAAAAAAAACTCCTTCTCGATTTTTGTGCGTCACTTTCCATTAAAGTAGTTGCTGATCGTTTCTTTCAATTTGCAAATTAGTTATATGCATATATTTGCAATGTTATTTTTCTCGGTTTACGTGATCAACCTATTTCAAATACATGCTTTCAGTATATTTATTTAGTTACAATTGTTTCTTTTGAATCCTATGCTTTATTTTATAAATTGAGGCACTAATATATATATATATATATATATATATATATATATATATATATATGTTTTGGTAAATTGGAAATTAATTGTTCGCTGCAGAAAATAGGTATTACATATATTTGAAATAAATTGGGAAATTTTGTTATGTCTGTATAAAAAAAAATTAATAGTGGGAGGATAGCTTTGGGATGGTACCTCCCAAAGTGATGAACACAATTTTTGGGCTTTATGCCTCCGATGTGAAACTGATGTGAAAATTATATCCGTTCTTCCCAAAGTGGTGTCTGGCAGGGTTTCCCGGGATACTAGTAGCAACTTTGGGAAGAGGTGTGCACACTAGGAAGATGTGAATTGATTATGGCCAAAGTGATTTGTTTGTGACTGGCAGGGTTTCCCGGGTCACAGGGTAGACTGGCAGGGTTCCCCGGGTCTACCATGGTTCTCTTCCCACTAAATAGACTAAATGGATTAAATAAATATTAATATAATTAATAACAAGTTGACATTTGATTCGAATTTTTTTGAGTTATATTATTTTATTGGATTATCATGAGTTACATTCTTTTTGTTTATTTATTTATTTATTTATTTTTTTGTATATCGGATTTGGATTACCAGCTTTGCTGACTTTTGTGTTTGTTTAACTGCAATGATCCTTCACGGGGGAGCAGATTTTCAGTGAAGCATGTTGCAAAGGATGGGGCTAGCTGTGGGCAGCGAGGATCACGACTCGGATATTATATTTCTAGCTAGTTTCTAAGTTTAGAAATTTTATGAGATTTAAATAAATGCATAAGACATATTTCCTTTATTTAAACTTTAGTCTTTGGTTTTATTTTTAATGTAATAAATTTAGCCTTGCACCTGTCCATAGTACAAGTGCGGCGGTAACACTTTCCAAATTTGATTATTTTGAACTTCCGCTGTTATTTACAAAAATTATTGAAATTATTTATGCTATTATCAATTGTTAGAATTTGGGGTGTTACAAAATGGTATCAGAGCCCTGAGTTTAACTTGGGTTCACTTTTGATACTAACTCAAGGGATCAAAGATCCCAGAGTTAAATAAATAAATAAGAACATAAATAATAAAATAAATTGAAATAAAAAAAAAAATTAAAATTAAACGTGAGAGATGGGTAGTGAAGGGTTATTTTCTTGTCCTTTAAATAAGATTTATTTGAAATTCTAATAATTGCATGTTTGAAATTATTTTGTGACTTGTTATGTGATTTATTGACTTGTAAATTTTATTTTAGCAAATGAATAGAATTTTCTATAGGCTAAAAGGGTTTCTTCTAGATGTAATTTTTTTTTTCTTTCTTTGAGTAATGATGAATAATGAAATTCTTATTATTTATTTATTTAAATAAATTGGTTTATTGTTTGAATTTAAATTGCATTATCTGATACATAATACAAATATATGAGATGAGGAAAGTGATAGTTAGAGTTGACTATGAGAACAAATTCAAACACTTAGAATTTTTAAAAAAAAACATACGATCAGGTATTATACCCGTCGTAACACTAGAATGGCTGCAAACAACGCTGTTGCTGAAGAAATGGACCGACGTCTGAGGGCTATTGAAGATCTTGCATTAGCACTTGGACAACAAAACGCCCATCAGGCTAATGCCGAGAATACCATTTTTAAGAGAGTGGCATCTCATCATCCACCCACTTACAAAGGGACTATCGATCCAGTTGCTCTTGAAAATTGGATTCGCGACATGGAAAAGCTGTATGAAGTGACAAATTGTCCCGAGAACATGAAGATTAGCATTGGCTCATTTTATCTGAAAGAGGAGGCGGATAGTTGGTGGTCCACGGTGAAGACGGGCTACATAGCTGAAGAGGGATTTAACTGGGAGATTTTCAAGGAACGAGTCCGCAATAGATTCTACCCCGACGCAATTAAGTGGCAGAAACAGGAAGAGTTTGCAAGGTTCAGGATGGCAGGAAAGATGACAGTGCAGGAGTACACTGACAAGTTCATTGAGCTCTCGCGTTTTGCTTCAAATCTTATTCCTACGGAGAGGGACAGGGCACGTAAGTATGAAAAAGGGCTGACATTCAAAATTCAGAAGTCCTTGGGAGGTATACCATCACAGACCTTCCAGGAAGCTTATGAACGAGCTTTGAACATTTTTGACATCTTACAAACTGAAGAGGAAGTCATGGAGAGGAACAAGAGAAAGCAATTTGGCAGTGGTCCTCAGCAAGTTAGTGGTGATAAGAAGCTTCGTTATGATAACAGGGGCAATAATTGGAGTGACAAACAACCACAGGGACAGAGGTATGCTGACAGAGGTAATTATGGCGAGAATCAACTCAAGATCCAAGTTCAAGGAACAAAACCATACTCTTGTAAAGGATGCGGCAAGCAGGCACACCCTGGGAAGAGGTGCAATGGAGAACTTATAACTTGTTTTCAGTGTGGTGGCAAGGGGCACAAGGCTCACCAGTGTACTGCCAGGGGATTCAATCAGCAATCAGGCTCTCAAGGAGGACAACCAAAACCAGATGGAGGACGAAATGGGAACAACAACCAAGGGGGTAGGAACAATGACAATCAGCCCCGCTACCAGCAGAACTTTCAAAATGGAAATAGAGGAAATCGGCAATATGCCACTATTGGAAATCCCAACAATGGAGCTGGAGCAGATCGAGCAACAGGTCAGAATGCTGCTATTAATCAAACCACAGGGAGTCAAGGAAGGATCTATGTCATGAATCACACTGAGGCTGCGGCAAACCCAGATGTTATTACAGGTACTTTCTTACTGCAGTCTGTACCTGCTTATATATTGTTTGACACTGGTGCATCGCTCTCCTTTATTTCATCCTCTTTTGTGGAGAAAACGAGAATGGTACCATCTTCTACCTTCTCAACCAATATTACTTTACCCTCTGGAGCTGTTGTCTCTTGCTCCAATGTTTATGAAAATATTCCGATTAGTATAGCTGGTTCTGAGCTACCAGCTGATCTAGTCCAGTTTGACTTGGCGGATTTCGATGTTATTTTGGGAATGGATTGGCTTAGCAAGTATAGGGCTAAGCTAGATTGTAGGGAGCAAAAGATATCTTTTAAGGGACCAAAGGGGAAGTACCTCTCTTATAAAGGTGTTGTACCCAAACCTTCCATTCAAATAGTCTCTGCTATGACTATTAAGAGTTTACTTATAAAGGGACACCCAGTTTATTTGTGCAACGTACGCGACTTAACTCTCGAGGAGAAGATTGAACAAATACCCGTGGTCAAGGAGTATGCAGATGTTTTTCCCGAAGAGATTCCTGGTATGCCACCTATTAGAGAAGTAGAGTTTGTTGTCGATCTTATGCCCGGTACTGCTCCGATATCAAAAGCGCCATATAGGATGGCTCCGGCAGAATTGAAGGAGTTAAAAACCCAACTTGAAGAACTGTTAAACAAGGGGTACATAAGGCCGAGTGTTTCCCCGTGGGGAGCTCCAGTTTTGTTTGTGCGAAAGAAAGATGGGAGTATGAGGTTGTGTATTGATTATAGGGACAAATACCCATTGCCAAGGATTGAAGACTTGTTTGATCAATTGAAAGGAGCAGGTATGTTCTCAAAGATAGATTTGAGGACTGGATATCATCAAGTACGAATCAAGGAAGACGACATCCCAAAGACGGCCTTTCGTACCAGATATGGGCACTATGAGTTTACGGTCATGCCTTTTGGCTTAAAGAATGCTCCGGCAGCTTTTATGGATCAGATGAATAGAACCTTCAAGCAATACTTAGATCAATTCGTGGTGGTCTTCATAGATGATATTTTGGTGTATTCCATGACGAGGGAAGAGCATGAGCAACATCTGAGGATTGTATTGGATATTCTAAGAGAGAATAAATGGTATGCAAAACTCTCAAAATGTGAGTTTTGGCTGGAGAAGGTTGCCTTTTTGGGTCATGTAATATCTCAAGAAGGAGTTTCTGTTGATCCAGCGAAGATTAAAGCTATCACTGAATGGCCTAGGCCTACAAATATTGCGGAAGTCAGGAGTTTTCTCGGTTTGGCAGGTTATTATAGAAGGTTTGTGAAGGATTTCTCGAAGACAGCTCA